AATTACAGAAGAAATTTAAATTTTAAATTTAAAAATATATGGAAACAAATGAAAATTAAAATGGAAAGAGAGTCCTAAGAGGAAAGTACATTGCATTTCAGGCCTATTTCAAGAAACTAGAAAAGAGTAAATAAAAAATCTAACAGTGCACCTAAAGGAACTAGAAGCAGAGCATCAAGAGCACCACTAACACAGAAGAAGAAGAGAAATTATAAAGATCAGGGCAGAAATAAACAGTATGGACTAAAAAAAATAAACAACAGTGAACAGATCAACAAAACCAAGTGTTGGTTTTTTGAAGAAGTAAATAAAATTGATAAACCTCTATCCAGACTTCTCAAAAAGAAAAGAGAGAGCACTCAAATGGACAAAATCACCAATGAAAATGGATTTATTACAACCAATCCCTCAGAAATATAAGCAATTATCAGGAATGCTATGAGAAATTATATGCCAACAAACTGGACAACCTAGAAGAAATGGACAAATTCATAAACACACACACACTACCAAAATTCACACAGGAAGAGATAGAAAATCTTGAACAGACCCATAACTGGTGAAGAAATTGAATTAGTTACTAAAAATCTCCCAACAGGGCCGCCTGGGTGGCTCGGTCGGTTAAGTGTCCTACTTTTGCTCAGGTCATGATCTCGTGGTTCACGGGTTTGAGCCCTGCATCAGGCTCTGTGCTGACAGCTCAGAGCCTGGAGCCTGTTTCAGATTCTGTGTCTCTCTCTCTTTCTGCCCTTCCCCAGCTCATGCTCAGTCTCTGTCTCAAAAATAAATAAATGTTAAAAATTAAAAAGAAAGAAAGAAGGAAAGAAAGAAAGAAAGAAAGAAAGAAAGAAAGAAAGAAAGAAGGAAGGAAGGGAAGAAGAAAGAAGGAAAGAAAGGAAAGAAATACAAAGACAGGGTGGAAAAAATCTCCCAACAAATAAGAGTCCTGGGCCAGATGGCTTCCCTGGGGAATTCTACCAGACATTTAAATCAGAGTTAACACAGATTCTTCTCAAGCTATTCAAAACAATAGAAATGGAAGAAAAACTTCTGGATTCATTCTACGAAGCCAGCATCGCTTTGATTCCCCAACCAGACAGAGACCCAGCAAAAAAAGAGAACTACAGGCCAATATCCTTGATGAATACAGATGCAAAAGTCCTCAGCAAGATACTTGCAAATCCAGTACAACAGCACATAAAAAGAATTGTCCACCAAGATCAAGTGGGATTCATTCCTGGGTTACAGGGCTGGTTCAATATTCACAAATCAATCAATGTGATCCATCACATTCACAAAAGAAAAGATAAAAACCTTATGGTCCTGTCGATAGATGCAGAAAAAGCATTTGACAAAATACAGCATCCCTTCTTAGTAAAGACCCTCGAGAAAGTCGGGATAGAAGGAACTTACTCAAACATCATCAAAGCCATTTATGAGAAGCCCTCAGCTAACATCATCTTCAACGGGGAAAGACTGAGAGCTTTCCCCCAGAGATCAGGAACACGACAGGGATGTCCACTCTCACTACTCTTGTTTAACATAGTGCTGGAAGTCCTAATATCAGCCATCAGACACCAAAAGGAAATCAAAGGCATCAGAATTGGCAAAGAGGAAGTCAAACCTTACTTTTCGCAGATGACATGATACTCTGCATGGAAAAGCTGACAGACTCCACCAGAAGCCTACTAGAACTGATCCATGAATTCAGAAAAGTCGCAGGGTACAAAATCAATGTACAGAAATTGGTTGCATTTTTATACACCAATAATGAGGCAACAGAAAGAGAAATCAAGAAACTGATCCCCTTCACAATTACATAAAAAACCATAAAATACCTAGGGATAAACCTAATCAGAGATAGAAAAGATCTGTATGATGAAAACTATAGAAAACTTATGAAGGAAATTGAAGAAGACACAAAGAAATAGAAAAATATTCCATGCTCATGGATCAGAAGAATAAATATTGTTAAAATGTCATTACTACCCAAAGCAGTCTACACATTCAATGCTATCCCAATCAAAATTGCACCAGCATTCTTCTCAAAGCTAGAAGAAACTATCCTAAAATTTGTTTGGAACCACAGAAGACCCCCAATAGCCAAAGTAGTATTGAAGAAGAAAACCAAAATGGGAGGCATCACAATCCCAGACTTTTGCCTCTCCTACAAAGCTGTCATCATCAAGACAGTATAGTATTGGCACGAAAACAGACACAGACCAATGGAATAGAATAGAGAACTCAGAATTGGACCCACAAATGTATAGCCAATTAACCTTTGGCAATTAGGAAAGAGTATCCAATGGAAAAAAGACAGCCTTTTTAACAGATGGTGCTGGGAGAACTCGACAGCAACGTGGAAAAGAATGAAACTAGATCACTTTCTTACACCATACACAAAAATAAACTCAAAATGGATGAAAGACCTGAATGTGAGACAAGAAATTATCAAAACCCTAGAGAAGAAAGCAGGAAGCAACTTCCTTGACCTCAACCGCAGCAATTTCTTACTTGACACATCCCCAAAGGCAAGGGAATCAACAGTAAAAATGAACTTTGGGACCTCATCAAGATAAAAAGCTTCTGCACAGCAAAGGAAGTAATCAATAAAACTAATAGGCAACTGATGGAATGGGAAATGATAGTTGCAAATGGCATATCGGATAAAGAGCTAGCATCCAAAATCTATAAGGAACTCACCAAACTCCAGACTGGAAAAACAAACAATCCAGTGAAGAAATGGGCAGAAGATATCAACAGATACTTCTCCAAAGAGGACATCCAGATGGCCTACAGACACATGAAATGATGCTCAGCATCCCTCATTATCAGGAAAATACAAATCAAAACCACACTGAGATACCACCTCACGCCAGTCAGAGTGGCTAAAATGAGCAAATCAGAGGACTCTAGTTGCTGGAGAGGATGTGGAGAAACAGGCACCCTCCTACACTGTTGGTGGGAATGTAAACTCGTGCAGCCCCTCTGGGAAACAGTGCGGAGATTCCTCAAAAATTAACAATAGAACTCCCCTATGACCCAGCAAAAGCACTGCTAGGAATTTACCCAAGGGATACAGGAGTGCTGATGCATAGGGGTACATGTACCTCAGTGTTCACTGTAGCCTTTTCAAAAATAGTCAAAACATGGAAAGAGCCTAAGTGTCCTTCAACTGATGAATGGATCTAGAAGACGTGTTTTATCTATCCAATGGACTACTACATGGCAATGAGAAAGAATGAAATCTAGCCATGTGTAGCAACATGGATGGAACTTGAGGGTGTTATGCCGAGGGAAATAAGTCAGTCAGAGAAAGGCAGATACCATATGTTTTCATGTATAGGAGGATCAGGACAAACTTAACAGAAGACCATGGGGGAGAGAAGGGGAAAAAATAGTTGGAGAGAGGGAGGGAGGCAATCCAGGAGAGACTCTAGAATACTGTGAACAAACTGAGGGATGATGGGGCTGGGGGAGAGGGGAAGGGCGGTCACGCTATTGTTGGGATGAGCACTGGGTGTTTTATGGAAACCAACTTGACAACAAACTATGAAAGAAAAAAATAAAGATGAATAGTGGGAATGGTTGTACAGCAACGTGAGTGTACATGATGCCACTGAAATTTTATCTCTAGAAGGTTTATTAATTTAATCTTAAGTAGAAATTAGTTTACCAATCCACATAAACTATGATTACATTTTTATCAGAAGAATTCAAAATATGCATGGAGAAAAAAGTGATGTAGGAAGAGATAGAACGTCATGATAGTTCTTTTTCTTATAGGTGTTTTCTACAATAAATATATCTTTTAAGTAATAGGAAAGGACAAACATGTATATTTCTGGTTTTGTTCCTTAAATTCTTAATTATATACATTAATATTTAATGATATATTTCCTCTCCATCTAAAACAGACTGTCATTTAAATCCTGACATTAATTGTAAATTAGAGTAAAAATCATTGAAGTCAAAGTCATTAAAGCAAAGTTCTTTCCAAAAATTTTTTACACTTATTTATTTTCGAGAGACAGAGCACAAGTGGGGGAGGGGTAGAGAGAGAAAGAGACGCAGAATCTCACATCACAGAGCTGCCGCGGGGCTGGAGCTCAGGAATCATGAGATCATGACCTGAGCTGAAGTCGGAGGCCTAACCCACAGAACCATCCACGTGCTCCTAAAGCAAAGTTCTTAAATTAAGTATTTGAAAATGTCCTTGGATACTGAGGAACATAATACAGAGATTAGGCAGGAAAAAGCAGTTTCTACATTCTGTCTTTCCTTTTATTAAGCCAGATTTTTCTGTAAATAACTTGTTTATACAGGTTTTGAGAAAGGGTTGAGAGGGAAGAACCCGTGAACAGGGGAGCCACGATAGAAGCATTACAAAATGCCGCACCTTCCCCGGACACCCCTTCTGCCCAAACACTTTCCTTACAAGGATTAGGTCTTGCTTATTGCATCCTGTATTTCCAGCCCTCTCCAGATTCTTCCATAACCCAGAGGCGTCCCATCCTGAAACAGTGATAACACATCCCCCTGTGGGCACTGCATTCCTCTTCCTGCCCCACTTTTGCTTGGAATAAACAGAAACTACTGAATTAGATTATCCTGTTCTCAGCCTTCCTCAAGATTTTTATCCCAAACTCTAGGACTAAAAGACACGCAGAGTGACGCTGAAAACCCACTTGGGCCTTCTTGCAAATTTCTTTCCGGTGAACCACTGGGAGCTCCCATGAATTCGGGGTAACCAGTAGATCCGGTCCCCAGGGAGGCTCTGGACCTTGTGTTCCACCGCCTTGGCACAATCCCTGGTCCCCCAGCACAATTCGCTGGTCGGTTGAGGCAGGCTCAGGCTCCCCTGGGGCAAGGTGTTGTCCAGTATGGCGGTCCTTTGATCTGAATTCCAGGGCACAGAGGCCCCGCCCACAGGCCAGCTCAGCCAATCGCGGCGAGGGAATCTGGCGGAGGTGGGGCCAGCAGAGTAGAATTCCGGGCGTTAAATGGGAGGCATAGGACCCACTATCAGGCTGTGAGACCTTCGGATCCGAGTCTGTGATTGTGTCTGTCCAGTGGTACCTGCCACAGGTGATCTTGCCACTCTGGGCCTGAGCAGAGGAGCGACCCTGGGGACCAGCATGGCTGCTAGCCTTGGGGGTTGGGTGTTTGGGGGCTCCCAGGAGGCATTGTCCCCTGGACTGGCACCACCAGATGCGGCAGCCTCATCCTCAGATGCCTGGCGGCGGGTTCCACCCCTGCCTGCGTCAAGAACCAAGTCCCCTGCAAGCTATGGGCAAGTGACAGGGTGGGGAGGTGGGCAGCGGGCCCCCAGAACATTCCACACCCTCAGCCTTTCTCCGCAGCCCTGAGAATAAAAACTGAGGATAAATTCAGGTCCACCTAGGGGCTCTAACATCTCAGAATAAAAGAATATGTTTTTTTAGATGGTTTGGTCTAATTGGAAACTCATTTATTTTCCCTGCCTAGGTTTCTGAAACATGCATCCCTTACTCTTCCTGGCTGCCTTTTGCCTGGCAATAGCCTCAGCTGCTCCACATGGCGATCCAAATTTAGATGCACGGTGGTCTCAGTGGAAAGCTGCACATGGGAAAATATATAATGAGGTTGGTAACATCTAACTTTTCCCTGGGACCCACAGAGAACAGTGTGCTGATGGGAGTTCATAGCAGAAAGCAGCTTCCTGAGGCCACTCTTACCAAGGCAGTAAGCAGGGCCCTGTGACTGTGCACAACGTGGGCACATGCCTTGCTGTGCAGTTGTTGGAGAACAACTCCCAGAAGCATCAGGCTATCCTTGGCTGTGGTTTCTTCTCCTCTCTGTGAGAACATTTACTTGGTGCAGGTGAGTCAATTTTAAATAGACACAAAGATAAGCTATATGTTTGCCTTTAGGATGATGAAGGATGGAGGAAATCAGTGTGGGAGACGAATATGTGGCTGATTGAACAGTACAATCAGAAATACAATCAAGACAAACAAGGCTTCACGGTGGCAATGAATGAGTTTGCTGACATGGTGAGTGTGGCATGGATTGCTGAACGAAATGGATTGCTGAATGAAAAAATCTCAAGCTTGTCAGCATGTTCTTTCTTTTCCTAGCAGACCGATGAAGAGTTCAGGAACACAATGAATGGTCTTAAAATCCAGAAGGGCAAGAATGGGAAAATGTTTCATATACCTTTGTTTGCTAGTACCTCTGTACCTGTGGACAAGAGACAGACAACTGGTGTAAGTCCTGTGAGGAATCAGGGTGACAACTGATTAGGTCTCTCTCCAAGAGTAAAGCCAAAAAAGGAAGTGTCCCCTGCTATGGTAGACTGTGGTGCAGTATGCAGTTTGCTGTCTTAAGAGAGGTTTCAGATCAATGGGCTGTTGTCAAGGTGTGCCAAGTGCCAAGTGCTATTTGTTTTGTAGACTGAGAGCTTTATAATTTGTTTTCAGAGTCTGTGTGGTTCTTGTTGGGCTTTTAGTGCAACTGGTGCCCTTGCAGGACAGAAGTTCCCGAAAACCGGCAAATTTATTGCACTGATTGAGCCGCGAAAAAGGCATTTTGCAAATATATGATGTGATACCACTTTTGTAAAAGTAAAAATAAAAGGCACAAAATTAACTACAAGCAAAGATAAAGAAAAAGGATGATTAATAGTTTCTTGGGGGGAATAGAGTAAAAAAAGAAAGGCATCGTTGCTTTATCTTTGCTGCTTGACTCTTAAAACTATGAGGATGTATTCACATATAACTTGTATATATCATTTATTAATTCAGTCGGGCAGCAGATTTTATGATGTGCTTACCTTGTGCCAGGTCCTGTCTGAGTGCTGAGGACAGAGAGGTGAACAAAACAAAAATTCATGATCTCTGTGTAGACTCAGTGCTGATGTGTGGAGAGACACAATAGTAGCCTGAACAAACACAATGGAATAGTATGGAGGCAATGCTATGGGAAAAACAAATTAGGGAAGGGGAGGGCAGTACCAGGAAAGGTTGTGTTAATTTTAATTCTGGGCGAAGACACATTTCTTGGAGAGGGTGACATTGCAGCCAAGGTCAGACGGAGGGGTAAAGCCTTGTATACATTTTGACAACAGCCTTACATGGAAGCAATGGAAAATACATAAAAAGGACATTTGAACTAAAAGGATGTTTCTAAACATTAAAAAAAATACTATATACAAGCTATCAAGCATCCTTGTCCAAGACATCACCCTCTCTAGCTCTAGGAACGGTCTGACCCACACTAGAGAGATGGGCAGGAAGAGATAGGGCCCCCCCTCCCAGGTGAATAGTTGACTCCACTTGAGAATATGTTTTCTGGCCTGTTCCCTAACAAAAGAACTTCTTAGGCACAAGAGGGCTTTTTGGTTTCAAATGCAGCTCGTGTTCCTGGAAGCTTCATTTGTCCTGCAAGTTAGGTTGATACCCAGGACAGTGTGATGATCATTTGACAAAGGATCCCAGACTTCCAGGGACAATGATGGTGGTCCAAGAAGTGCAGGCCAGGACTATTCTCCTGCACTTGAGTGACCAAAGGAGAGCCAAGCTGCCCCAGGAGACCTGACTCTGGGAGCCAGCCCTGTAGCAAGATGACTTGCTATCAGAGGCCAGGATGTCAGTGACAAAAGGCCATCAGTACCCCCAGTATGAGGAGGGGTCTGGTGCCACAACCAAGACCTGGATGGGCTCCCAGTTCTCCTCTATCTCTTTGTCATGTTCTTCTCTCCCTTGTAGGGAAAAAAACAAGGAACATTTGATGTCGAGTGAAAGTGGCATTGAAGAGTAAAGAACACGTGAGTTATCACAAATTAAATAAAAAAAGAAGGAAGCAAAGTGTATTTGGAGTGCATATTTGTGTGTGAGAGAATGCTTCTCTGTCAGGGGTCCCCTCTCTGGTGTGGAACCCTGGCTGGGGCCTGACTGACATGGCAGAAGACAGACAAGGGAGGAAATGGTAGCAAACTTTCTGGAGCCCCCTTTCTGCCTGAAAATCCTTAAATCCACTGCTCTGGTGACACCTTTGGTAAGCCATGTGAGTTTTTTAAACTTCTCTTACCTTGGCCTGCTGATTTCCCTGAGAGCCCAGCATCCTGTTGAGCTTGTGGACTCCTGAGATCTAGGTGGACATTGTGGGGATATAACACAGTCTTGTGGCCCTGACGGGTGGCCAAGAAGCACTATGATTATGGGAATATAACATGGTCTTGCAGCCCCAATGGGTGGCTGAGAACCACTGTGAGCTGACAGGTGTCTTACTCTTCCCACCTGGATGTTCAGTGAGTCTACTTGTTGAGGCTGATCTTGACTGTGTGAGTCCAGTTGTGCTCCTGGGTTGCTGACGAGAGCACACGACTCGCTGTGTAGACCAGCTATGGTCAGTTTTTGGTGCTGATGAAACAAAAACCACAAACCCATTGGCTTAAAGTAAAGGAAATGTGTTTTCTCACAGTTGGGAGGCCAGAATCCAAACCAGTGTCTCCCTCTGAGAGCTTTAAGGGGCATCTTTGTTTCTTCAGCTCTGACAGTAAGTTTATTTTTATGTCTCAGACAAGACTCTTAAAATTGAAATTTGTTTTCAGTGTTATTTCATGGCAATTGGCTTCCATTCAATGTGTTTCTATGCATGATGGCCTTGGGAACTTTTCACAAGTTTAAATAAATACAAATGTCTTTGAAAAATACAAAGACTTCTAATATCTGCTTAATCTTTTAGACATTGAGGAGGTCTCCATACACTCAGCAGTGGTCATTGCCAGGTTGCCCTTGTGAATAGAAGTCTGTGTTGCTGAGTCCATGACTAACCTCCATCCTTGCCACCATGGTCATTTTGTCCATGGGCCCATTGGGTAATGGCAGGGGTGGTTGTGGAAAGAGGCTGACTGCTATTCACAGAACAGATTACCCTACCCACTTGATTGTTAAAATTCTCTTCTGCTGAGCTCAGCCCTTGGTGACATTCTCCTGGGACACAAATATCTTCACATTTCACCCATTCAGAGATGTTTATCCACATACTTCCCCCACCCCCTAGTTTCCTTGGAGCCAGTTATCCAATCATAGTCCTTCTAAGTCCCTGGTCATCCTGCCAAACCATCGGCCAAGCTCATGAATCAGAATATGATCCTATGTCTGGCCATTTCTCCCTCCAAGCCAAGTGAGCAGCCAAGTACACAGCTAGAAGTTCTATCCCTGGTTAGGATCTCCATTCTTAACTGTCCTTCATGGGTGGCCCAGAGGGACATCAGTGCCACATTTGTCCACTTTTGGGGGGTGCCTGCCCATCGTGGAGAGCCAACTGTAAGCCAGGCCTGAGTTTTCTCTTTTCTCTGACAATAGACTGTATTGATTCCCTATCAGGCAATAGGAGATGGTTGGGAGAGAGAAGTCTGGGTGGGGGCCGTGGGCATTTGGGCCCCTTCCTAAGGTAACTTATCTATGCCTTCAGGGTCTATGGGAATCTGATGGTCCACATACCACCTCCACCTGATGATGGAGTGCCGCTGTATGTCTCCAACTTCATGGCTTCATGCATCAGATAAGGTTGTCCGGAGAAGAGATGCCAAGGCAATAGATGAATTTGCAGTTATAAATCGGGTCATCTGGAGGAGGAGAGTGATCACAACAGTAAGCACAGATAAGGGAAAGGAAGAGAGCAATTTCTACTTAGGAGCATCTTGTCACCAAATTGCTTTCCATGCCATTTCTTCTTGACATATCCCAGTGTTTCTCACCAGGATGCAGTGGGCATTTTGGGTTTGGTTGGACTTTCTGTCTTTGCAGGACTCAAGGACCCCAAGCAGCTCCTGTCTTAGCACTCCTCCCTCATTCATTGTGAAATCAAAAACTGATTTTATACATTTCCTGACACCACTGGGGGGAGCCACTCTCTGTTAAGACTCACTTAGGTCGATCCCAAACATACTCCTTGCACAGCAGGGAGGGGACTGGCCTTAAATTGCCTGGCCATTCCATAGGTTTCCAAGTGGGCCAAATTAGCAACAGAAACACTCCCCTTGTTTTCATCTTTAATTAGTAGAAGAGCCAAGAATGTATCTTTAAACAACATTGCTAAAGAAGCCATGGGCTGTCCCCAAAATAGAACCTAAGTTATCTTGTTGGTCTGCAGGGGGCGGCAGAGGACTCACTAGAGCACAGTGAACGGCTACTTGGGTCCTGAGACAGCTCAGGAGACTGAACCTTGGGGAGATGAAATCTTGCAGCCAGTGCATCTGGGCAGGGCAGGGGTGGGGGTGGCCCAGTCCAGAGCTCATGAGGGAAGGAAGAAGCCAGGACAGGCCTGAGCTGGGCAAGATTTGCTGTCACCCCCTTCACCACGAAGTGAATCGTGGGCAGCCGTGTACTGGAGCCTCCTGTGCCTCCTGCAGAGCCCACCACACACAATTCTTCCCACCTGCGTGTTCAGTGCCCTCACACTGGGGACTTGAAATCAGCCCTGGTGGCAGTATTTACACCGCAGGAACCAGACAGCACTGCAAATCAAGGCTTGTTCACTCCCAGCAAGCTGGCAAAGCAGCCCACCCCCACTCTGGGGGCTCAGGAGCACCACAGCCAGAGCTTGGGCTGTGGGAACCACATTATTACAGAAGGAGTGACCCCTCCCCCCACTGAACAGGTCAGCAGAGCTGCCCAGACCTGCCCAAGAACTGTGCTGTTGCTTAGTCAGACCAACTCTGCCTCCCCAGGAAGAGGAGGGGTGCTTGTTAGATGGCGGGGAGGGGGTGCAGGTAGATTTCAAGTGTGCATCTATTTATACTATCAATGCACATCCCCTTCTGATCTGATTTTAGCATTCTAGTTTGAGGGCAGAGGGATGAGGATTTGTCTAATTTTTATTTTGTGGGATTGTCCCTCTAATTGAATATTCTGTAAACCAATATTAAAAGCAGTTACTTTTCCTAATCTGAAGACAAAGATAGTGAAGAAAGGTGCCCAGGAATATTTTGGAAAATGAGATACAGTTGGGAGTTTCCCCAAATTTAAAATTCAGCACAAATAAGCTGCATTTGCATAACTGACTTGCTGCTCCTTTAGGGCAGAGTCTAACTGCATTCTGCCATGTGTGGAAAGCGATGAACCCTCCCCATGCTTTTACCTGCCTTTCCCGGATACTGATGGTCTTCCCTGCCAAGCTGTTGATGGTCAGTCATCTTTGCTGATGAGAATGTAGAGCTAAATTCCTAAAAGGTGCAGAAAGAAAAGAAACCAGTAACCAATATTCACTGTGGCTTCTAAGAGCAATGCCATTACCAAACAATATTCACTTAAAAGATATTCACGTGACTAAATATGCCAAGACCTGTTCTAGGCATGGGAGAGACCACGGTGAACAAAAGAAGCAAGACTACTTATAAACAAATAAGGAAAATGCTAGATGGGGTAAGTCAGGGGTGGCAAACAATGGATTAGGAGCCAAAGCTAGGCCACCATCTGTTTTTGTAAATAAACTTTTATTGGAACATAATCACCCCTTAACTTCCTACTGTCTATGAGTGGTTTGGTATACATGGCAGTTACAATAGAGACCACCAGTCACTTTACAAAAGGTTTGCTGTGGCTCGTGTAAGTGAAGGGATTCAAACAGGGTGAAAGAAGAGAAATGACGGTGGGCTATTTTCCAGGACTGCTCTGGTGACCCTTCTCTGCTGGTGACATTTAAACCAACACCTGAAGTACAAGGAAAGGTAGGCAGGGGCTGGTGGAAGACAGAGAAATAGTGAGTGCAAAGGGCTGGGGCAGTAGAGAGTTGGTGTGTCCGGGAAACAGACCAAAAGGAGGGTTGATGAGGGTTGGCACCAAGGCTTGAGAATGGTGGTTTGGGGGAGAAAGGTGCCTGAGAAATCTGATCATAGAGTTGGCTGCTTTACAGAGCCAGGTTAGGAGACTGGATTTGATCCAAGTGTGTTTTGCAGGTGGGAGCAAGATCTGCCTCTGGTTTTAGGAAGCCCCTTCCTGCCCCAAGCTACCCAGCCAGAGAAACCAGGTAGAAGATGATCTTGATGGCCAGGTGATATATGATAGCACTTGGATGGTGTTGTCCAGGCTCACTTACTTTGTGAGCTGTGGACAAGAATGAAAAAGGAGGCCCCCATCCCTGGGTAAATAGTTCAAGTATGAGGTTAAAGTGAACACACAGGGAAATAGCACATGTCCTGCCTCCCACTTACTCAAATACACCTTCTGACCACCTGGAAGGCAGGGCTGGTTTAGAATTCTGATCCTCAGACTCCCTGCTGCTTCCCCCTCTTCTTCCCAAGCCTGGCAGCCTCACCTGCTAGAGGCCCACAGCCATGCACACCCCAGGCCTCGCCTTTGCACTGACCACACCTGCCTGCATGGGGAGGCCAGGGAGGACACACAGGGGAGTTTTCCAAGGCATGAGCCAGAATTTAGGAAACATTGTAGTGCCAGCTCCTCACTCCCTGGCGTTACTGCAGGAAGGTCTGACCAGGCAGGGCTTTGTGGTGGCAGGGGGCAGGTGGTCTTGGATCTCCTGGTAGGTAGAGACCACGGAGAGACTTGTGTGCTCCCTCCAAAGAAATCAGTGTTCTATTGCCTTCAGAGCTAGCGGGGAGCAACTCACTGTCCTTTCTGCTTCAGAACCACAGTCTGCCTTGGAGAGCACATCTGTCAGGTGATTGGCAGCAGCCTTCCCTGGGACACTGGTCTGGGCCCTCACCAGTCCCTGTGCTGCCACCTAGTGGTGACAAGAGAAAATGTGCCACCCACCTGCAGTGGGGAAGGCACTTTAGAACTTTCTGTTGTACTTCTGCACCAAAATTGGTTGTGTTAGGGTGTGGGGGATAGTTGACAGAGATTA